CCTTTTCTTGAATAAGGAGACCAAAACTGTGGATAGTACTCCACATGGGTGCTTGCGAATTTTTTTCCAACTGTTGCAAAACATCCTTTTCTATACTCCATTCCCCTTGCAAGAAAATTACAGTTCTTAATCACTTACTGTACCTGCGCGATAACTTTGAATTGTGTGTCAGGCCATCCCTCACCCTTTATGCTTCAGTCCTACAGTCATTCCAGTTGTGGTCCCCTTATTTAAGGAAAGATGTTTAATTAGAGGCAGTTCAGAGAAGGTTCACTACAGTTATCCTTCGTATGGAGGGATTGTCTTATGAGCAAAGGCTAAACAAGTTTGGATTCGACACACTAGCGTTTAGAAGTATGAGAGGTGATCTCGTTGAAACGTATACCACCTACCAAACTTTTATCCACCTGTCTTTGTTTACTTCACAACTTGCATTCCTTCCTATCTTTTGTCAGCAAATTTACCACTTACACCTTTTGGTCTCATCATCCAAGTCATTTATATAAATTGAAAAGTTGAGAACCTAAAACTGATTCCTGTGGCGTACCATTTGTCATATCCTGCGAGCCTGAATGTAACATATTTATGTGCACCATCTGTAATTCAGATTAGCCAAATCTGCCCATGTTAGTATTTATCTCCTACGCATGAGCTTTTATTTTCTGGAGTTACTATTTATGTGGCACCTTAAGAAGGTGGCTTATGTAGAGCTGAGGCGTGAAGGCTCAGTTAGGGTGCTTGAGAGTTACAAGTTAGCCAGGAAGGACCTAAAGAGAGAGCTAAGAAGAGCCAGGAGGGGACATGAGAAGTCTTTAGCAGGTAGGATCAAGGAAAACCCTAAAGCTTTCTATAGGTATGTCAGGAATAAAAGAATCACTAGAGTAAGATTGGGGCCGGTCAAGGACAGTAGTGGGAAGTTGTGCGTGGAGTCCGAAGAGATAGGAGAGGTGCTAAATGAATATTTTTCGTCAGTATTCACACAGGAAAAAGACAATGTAGTCGAGGAGAATACTGAGATACAGTCTAATAGACGAGATGGGATTGAGGTTCATAAGGAGGAGGTGTTAGCAATTCTGAAAGGTGTGAAAATAGATAAGTCCCCTGGGCCGGATGGGATTTATCCTAGGATTCTCTGGGAAGCTAGAGAGGAGATTGCAGAGCCTTTGGCTTTGATCTTTGTCGTCATTGTCTTCAGGAATAGTGCCAGAAGACTGGAGACTAGCAAATGTTGTCCCCTTGTTCAAGAAGGGGAGTAGAGACAACCCTGGTAATTATAGACCAGTGAACCTTACTTCGGTTGTGGGTAAAGTGTTGGAAAGGATTATAAGAGATAGGATTTATAATCATCTAGAAAGGAATAATTTGATTAGGGATAGTCAACACGGTTTTGTGAAGGGTAGGTCGTGCCTCACAAACCTTATTGAGTTCTTTGAGAAGGTGACCAAACAGGTGGATGAGGGTAAAGCGGTTGATGTGGTGTATTTGGATTTCAGTAAAGCGTTTGATAAGGTTCCCCATGGTAGGCTATTGCAGAAAATACGGAGGCATGGGATTGAGGGTGATTTAGCGGTTTGGATCAGAAATTGGCTAGCTGTAAGAAGACAGAGGGTGGTGGTTGATGGGAAATGTTCATCCTGGAGTTCAGTTACTAGTGGTGTACCTCAAGGATCTGTTTTGGGGCCACTGCTGTTTGTCATTTTTATAAATGACCTGGATGAGGGCATAGAAGGATGGGTTAGTAAATTTGCGGATGACATCAAAGTTGGTGGAGTTGTGGATAGTGCGGAAGGATGTTGCAGGTTACAGAGGGACATAGATAAGCTGCAGAGCTGGGCTGAGAGGTGGCAAATGGAGTTTAATGCGGAAAAGTGTGAGGTGATTCACTTTGGAAGGAATAACAGGAATACAGAGTCCTGGGCTAATGGTAAGATTCTTGGTAGTGTGGATAAGCAGAAAGATCTCGGTGTCCATGTGCATAGATCACTGAAAGTTGCCACCCAGGTTGATAGCATTGTTAAGAAGGCGTACAGTATGTTAGGTTTTATTGGTAGAGGGATTGAGTTTCGGAGCCATGAGGTCATGTTGCAGCTGTACAAAACTCTGGTGCGGCCGCACTTGGAGTATTGCGTACAGTTCTGGTCACCGCATTATAGGAAGGATGTGGAAACATTGGAAAGGGTGCAGAGGAGATTTACCAGGATGTTGCCTGGTATGGAGGGAAGGTCTTATGAGGAAAGGCTGAGGGTCTTGAGGCTGTTTTCGTTAGAGAGAAGAAGGTTAAGAGGTGACTTGATAGAGACATACAAGATGATCAGAGGATTAGATAGGGTGGACAGTGGGAGCCTTTTTCCTCAGATGGTGATGGCGAGCATGAGGGCAGATAGCTTTAAATTGAGGGGTGATAGATATAGGACAGATGTCAGAGGTAGGTTCTTTACTCAGAGAGTAGTAAGGGCGTGGAATGCCCTGCCTGCAAAAATAGTAGACTCGCCCACTTTAAGGGCATTTAAATGGTCATTGGATAAACATATGGATGATAATGGAATAGTTTAGGTTAGATGGGCTTCAGATTGGTTTCACAGGTCAGCGCAACATCGAGGGCCGAAGGGCCTGTACTGCGCTGTAATGTTCTATGTTCTATGTTGAGTGCATTTTGGGAATCCTGAATGTCTGCCTTAATTAACAGTGCTCCTTTCCATCATTTTTTTTCTAGCTTCATATCCTTCCTAAGTGAAATGTGTCCTTTGTCCTCATGTAGCTTTGTCTGTAATGGCTGCTAGATTAGGCGCATTTGTTTCTACTTGCGCTGTCAATTTGTGTATTGTTACAAATGCTGCATGGGTTCAAATGAAGAGCCTTTACTTCTGTCTTATTACTTCTCTGATAATTTTTAACCTTATATTTGGTGCACTTTTTAAAAAGTTTTCATGCTTTGTTCGTTCCTACCATGCTCTAATCATCATTCTACTCCCTTCCTTTTTCACAGTAATTAAAATGCATAGAAATACTCCTATTAATACATAAAGAAACATTGTTTGGAATAATCTTGAAATGCATGCATTATTGACATCATTGGCATTAAAAGTCGCAATGATTCTGGAGTATTTCTCTGAGCAGACTTTGCTGCATCAGCTCAATTTCAGAGATTTTTCTGAATAGCTATCTTCACTTTACATATTTATCAATGGGAATTCATCTCCATATGGTAATGCTTTAAAAGTTTTATTGATCAGTCTGCAAATGTGGAATTTCATCTTTGGTGGCATGTTTAATTCCATGGAGCAGCAAGCAAACATTGTACTTGTACTTGTACTTGTCCTTATTTCGGTATAGCTCAATATACCTTTTTGTGCAAGATTGGTATGCAATCATTGTTTGTGAAGCAGTAATGCAAGTATAAAAGAGATGGATAAATATTGAAACAAATGGTAAATTTGCTATAGTCGCAGAGAACTATAGAGTTGCGCTGACATTGGAGAAAGATGATTAGCCATCAGTTTAACCTGAGGGTCACGTCGTCTCAGGCAAGACGGAGGAGGCAGACCTTCATAGTAACCTCAGCCGTTGCACGAATTGAACCTGTGGTTCTCACTCTGTAACGCAAACCAACCATTTGGCCAACAAAGTTTAAACAAAAACAGAAATTTCTGTAGAAACTCCATATAAGTATCTATGGTGAGAAAGCAGAGGCAATGTTTTGAGTCCAGTGACCCTTGAGAACATCATAGCTGCGTGATGCATGTTCTCTATTTTTCTCTCCCTTCATTTTCTCCATTACTATGGAAAATGGGGTATAGTTCCACATGCGCTGATGTTTTCCAATATCTCAGCAGATGGGTGAGCTTCGAGTGTTAATAAATTTTGTACTGAGGATATTGCAGCCAAATCCCGTTCAGTTTTCTTGTAATGTTCTTACGTGAGTCATTAAAGACATTATACTTCTGTCCTTTTCTGCAAAATGAGGGAATGTTGTTGTCTGTAGGATAATTTTGGGCAATACAGTGGCTCATTGGTTAGCACTGCTGCCTCTCGGCGCCAGGGACCCAGGTTCAATTCCAGGCTCGGGTGACTGCCTGTGTGGGGTTTGCTTGTTCTCCCCATGTCTGTGTAGGTTTCCAACGAATGCTCCAGTTTCCTCCCATAGTCCAGAGGTGAGCAGGTTAGGCCATGCTGAGTTGTCCACAATGTTCAGGGATGTGTATTCTAGGTGGATTAGCCATTGTAAGTGCAGGGTTACGGGGATGGGGTAGGAGTTTGGGTGGGATGCTGTTTGTAGGGTCTGTGCAGAATCACCTCCTCTTATACTGTCGGGCTTCTGTGATTCTAATTTTGGGAAATTTTACTACCTCAACATTTATTTCAGACACCTCCAGAAGCATTCTGCGGTTTCCTGACGCTTGTAAAAATCTAGATTGTTAGCTCATGTTGCACTGCAAAAGCAGAGATTTAAACAATGTTTTATGTAAATACAAATGTTCTGATGGATTAAGAAAAAGATCGGCAATTGATTTTTGGTGTGCATTCAACTCATCACTGGGATAGGCAGGTTTGTGGCAGTGTTCATGGACAGTAGCAGTGGTAATACTACTGGAATAACAATCCAGAAGCCTGGACTGGTGATGAGTTGAAATCCCTGCATAACAGATTAAGGAATTTAAATTCAATTAGTCACTAAAACTGGAATAAATGCTGGTCTCCTTAATAATAATTATGAAGCTACCAGATTGAAGCAAATGGATTTTTATGACAGTCATCTCCGTTCGGGGAGAGAATCTGTTATATTTAACCGTTCTGGTCTTCATGTGACTCCAAGCTGTCAGCATTTTGGTTGAAATTTAACTGAGCAAGTAAGCCACTCATTTGTAGGTATATTTCCCATAGTGTTTAGAAAACTGTGCTCAAGCTTTCAGTTTCTTTTTTGATGTGAGAAAGGATTAACTCTTGTAGTAATTATGCTCCATGTTGACTGTATAGTGACGGGTATATTTTTATTTCTGTAGAGGATAAGGCTGCCCAGTCTCTATTGAATAAGCTAATCCGCAGTAATCTGGTTCAATCGACACATCAAGTTGAAGTACTCCAGAGAGATCCAAATTCCCCTCTGTACTCTGTGAAGTCCTTTGAAGAGCTGCATTTGTAAGCATTTTTTTCTCTTTTATATTATTGTTTAGGATTCTGTTCGGCCAGTGCAGTCTATTCCAGATATAAATATCAATATGTAGCTTAAATTCACCAAAAACTCCCTATATACTGTTATAAAAATGTTTTGTTTAGTATTGCTTGGAGGATGCAAGGTTTGAAGGATTGTGAATAAATTTTATTTCAAGTTTTGTAGACATGCCTAGAGTGGTATCTGTGCTCTACTGTTCTGTGTTCATTTTAGTAGTGTTCTGGTGGATTGTGTGCAACCTTTACTAGAAGTGAAAACTTCATGGATATGCCTGATCAGTTCTTGGGCTCCACTGTTTTAAGAACAATCACTGCAAGTACAGTGGAAGAAAAGTTAATCCAGTTCTTCACTTAATATGAATTACTGATGGTGATCCAATTGGATGAAGGTTCTAATTTTCTGTTTAAACTATTCAAGTTGTAGTCTGCATGTAACTCAGTCTTCAGCCTGCTATCCACTGACTGGAGCTTCAGAAAGGTTCCACCAAACCTTCAAAACACTGATCAGAACATAGTGTCATAAATATCTTTGTCGTTTAGACAAAGGTCTGGAATTTCTTTCGTTTGCCTTGCAGGGCTCATCTAATGATTTGATTTGATTTTAATCCTTTTGATTTGGTTGTAGGTAAATGGACCACTAAAACTAAATAAGAAAATGTTTTTAGGACTGAAGGACATGTTATCCATTTTCTAAATGACACTGCATAATATCTTGATTTGTTTGTCCAATTTTAAATACCACCTCATCTCCCACCCAAATACCAAAAGTCTTCATGACTTTTTAGGAAAAATAAAAACCCACAGGCAAAGCTCCTTTCTGCCATAAACTGTATTCTATTCAGGCCATAGTTCCTTTTGTTCTTTACATCAGATTTCACAGTAGAAGATGCTAGCAGCATACCAGGACTTCGAGTCAGGAGGCAGAGATGAGTGAGGTAGCCAGCACTGAGGAGGATGTGCTGAAGAAGCTGAATGGTCTAAAGGCAGATAAGTCACCAGGACCAAATGTACTGTACCTCTGTTCTGAATGAGATAGCTGAGGAGATTAGAGGCATTGGTGATCTTTCAGGAATCACTGACGTCGGGGAGGGGCCTAGAGGACTGGAAAATGGCTAATCTAACACTCCTGTTTAAAAAGAGCGAGAGGCAGAAATAGGAACCAAAGGCTGGTTAATCTGACCTCCGTCATTGGTAAGATTTTAAAGTGCAATATTAAGAATGAGATTGCAGAGTACTTGGAAGTGTATGGTGAAAGTGCATAGTGAGTCAGCACAGTTTGTCAAGGAGAGATCATGCATGACAAATTTGTTAGAATTCTTTGAGGAGGTAACAAGCAAGTTAGACAAAATAGAGCCACTGGATGTGATCTGTTTGGATTTCCAGAAGGCCTTGAGCAAGCTGACACATAGGAGGCTGCTAAATAAAATAAGAACCAGTGAGATGAGGGGCGAGGTGCTGGCGTTGAAAGAGGATTGGCTGACTGGCAGAAGGCAGAGAATAGGGATAAAGAAGTCTTTTTCAGGATGGCAGTGGTGACTAGTGGAGTTACGCAGCAGCCATTAATTTCCCTAATTTTTTTCTCTAGTGAAAGTTATTGTTTATTTTGTCTCAGCAGCAAGCATTGGTAAATTTGAAGCTAGAACACTTGAATGTAAAACAGCATAAGAAGAAACATGTAGACGGTGCTAAGCGATTCCATAACCAGTAGATCAGATTTAAGCTTTGCAGCCCCACTGCATCCAGTCATGAGTGGTGTTGGACAGTTAAACAGCTAATAGGAGGAGTGGGCTCCACAATTATCCTCATTCTCCATAATGGAATAACACAGCACATTAATGCAAAAGGTAAGGCTGCAGCGTTTGTAAGAACCTTCAGCCAGAAACATCAAGTAGATGATCCACCTCAGCTCCAGAGATCCCTAGCATCATAGATGCTAGTCTTCAGAAAGAAATGGCTGAAGGCATTAAAGGTTATTGGCTCTGACAACATTCCAGCAATATTTAGAAACCAAAGGAATTCAGAGCAAGAGTAGGCCAATCAGTCATTAAGCAATGGAAGAGGTCAATATTAATGCTAAGCTGCACTTGTTTAGCAATAACTTGCTTCGTGATCCTGAATCTATATTCTACTGGAGCCATTGAGCTCCTGACCTCATTACAGCCTTGGTTCAAACATGGATGAAAGAGCTGAATTCCAGAGGTGAGGTAATTTGACAGCTCTTGACATCCACTCTACTCAATTCCACTTTTAAGAGTCCTGGCAAAAATAGAGGAAGATAGTTGTAGTTATTGGCCTGTAATATCCTCTTCAGGAGATCTCTGCAGGAGGTTCTCAGCCCAACAGTTTTCGGCTACTCCATTGATCACCTTGGCTCCGTCGTAAGGTCGGAAGTCACACATCAGGTTATGGTCCAACGGGTTTATCTGAAATCCGAAGCTTTCGGAGTGCTGCTACTTCAGGTGAAAATGTTCACCTGATGAAGCAGCAGCACTCCGAAAGCTTCTGATTTCAAATAAACCTGTTGGGCCATAACCTGATGATGTGTGACTCCTGACCTTGTCTACCCCAGTCCAACACCGCCTCCACATCATAAGGTTAGAGATTGGGATGTTCACAGATGAGTGTGCAATGTCCAGTGTCATTCATGAATCCCCAGACACTGAAGCAATTTGTATCCAAATTCAGCAATTTCTGGACAATACAAAGGCTTAGGTTGCCAAATGGCAAATAACATTTGCACCACCTAAAAGCCAAATGTCCAACAAAGAATCTAATGCCCCCTTGACATTGAAAAACATTACTATCCCCTCTGTAGACTTGCCATTATCTTGAAACTGAATTGGGCTAACCAATTAAATATTGTGGCTTTAAGAACAGGCCAGAGACTCTGAATCCTGGAATGAATAACTCACCACCTGACTCCCCAGAGCCTATCCACCATGTACAGGGCACAAGACAGGAGCATGATAGAATGCTTCCTGTCTGCCTGGATGAGTACAGGTCAAACAACACAGTAAGAGCTTGATATCATCCAGGAGAGACTCTGCTTGATGGGCAAACTTTATCTGCAAACTGTGACACTTTCCACCACCATCTTGTAGTAGCAGTGTATACCAGTACAATATGCACTGTAGTAATTCACCAGTGCTCCTTAGACAGCACCTTCCAAGTCCACAACCACCAGGATCTACAAGGACTAGCTGTAGATACTTGGGGAAGCCACTTCCCTACAAGTTCCACTCAAATGCTGGACAGCATCCTGACTTGGAAATGTATTGCTGTTCCTTCTCTGCCACTCGGTCATAATCCTTTAACTTTCTTCATGACTTAACCATGTGTCAATCTCCAGACCAACAGATCCGAACATCCTTTACCCTTAAAAGTGTCCAATTGATCAATGTTTTCTTTTCCCAGAAAGCCAGTTTTTGCAGATTAACTTTTCTCTTGAAATCAAAGACAGAAATTGCTGGGAAGTTCAGGCCTGGCAGCTTCTGTAGAGGGAAATTTGGTGTTAGTGTTTTTGGGTCAAGTGACCCTTCCTCCGATCTGATGGTAACTGGGAAAATGTTGGTTTATATGCAAAACATAGGGTAGGGGGGGAAGTGGTAAGGAGTAAATGATAGGCGAGGATAGAGCCCGAAGAGCAGTTGGACAAAGGAGTGAATAAAGATCTGGCTAGGAGGCTAAATAGCTGTTAATGGGTACTTTTAGTGGCTGACAGTGGGTTGTGTGTAATAGCAGACTGTCATAACAAACCCTGGTCTGTGGGACTTGGGATAAGCACGTGGGAGAGCTCGAGACCTAAAGTTATTGAACTCATTATAAAGTCCAGAAGGCCGTAGGGTCCTCGAGCTCATTTTCTGCACTTCAGGAAGCCTGAGAAAGATGTTGGCCAGGGAACAGGGTGGTGGCGTGAAGTGGCAGGCAACTGGAGGCTAGGCTTTTGTGTTCTGTTTGCAAAAAAAAAAAAAAAGTGTTGTGCTACGTGGTCACCCAGCCTTTGCTCCAGTTCCCCAGTGTAGAGGAGACCACATTGTGAGCAACAAATGCAGTAGACTAGATTGTGGGGAAGTGCAGGTAAAGCACTGCTTCACCTGAAAGGTGTGTTTGGGCCCTTGGATACTGAGAAGGGAAGAAATAAACAGACCGGTGTTACACCATCTGCGGCTGAAGCGGAAAGTGCTGTGGAGCTTTGGGGTGGGGGTATATTGGGAGTGAAACAGGAGTGGACCAGGGTGTTCCGGAGGGAACAGCCACTGTGGAAGGCTGACAAGGGAGGGGAGAGGTATAAGTGTCTAGAGGTGGCAGAATTGGCAGCTAATGATCCTCTGGATGAGGATGCTGATGGGTTGGAAGGTAAGGATAAAGGGGGACCATATTGCTCTTGTGGGAGGGAAGAAGGGGGTGAGGGCAGAAGTGCGGGAGATGGATTGGACCCAGCTCGGGGCCCTGTCGATGATGGTGCTGGGGACTCCTCTATTGAGGAAGAAGGTGGACATTTTGGAGGCTCCCTTGTCGAAGTTGGAATCATCGGAACATATGTGATGGAGGCGAAGGAGCTAGGAGAATAAAATAGTCTTTACAAGAAGTGGGGTATGAAGATGTATAGTTGGTGGGTTTATAGTGGATATTAGTGGCCAGTCTATCCCCAGAAATGGAAACGGATGTTGAGGAAGGGAACAGAGGAGTCAGACATGGACTAGGTGAAGGTGAGAGCAGGATGGAAATTGGAAGCAAAATTAATGAACTTTTCCAATTCCGGACGAGAGAGGGAAGCAGCAGCAATGATATCGTTGATATAATGGAGAAAAAATTGTGTGTGGGGTCCAGAATAGGACTGGAATAAGGAATGTTCCACATACCCCACAAACCAACAGGCATAATGGGGCTCATGGGTGCCCATGGCCACCCCTCTGATCTGAAGAAAGTGAGAGAAGTTAAGAGTGAGGAGGAGCTCAGCCAGGCGG